CAAATAGTGTAGAAATACCCAACATGAACTGTTCTGGGCTCAGTAAGCCTGTTTCCAGCTCTGGATGGTCTGGTTTGTCACTGTTTGCAATCAGACTTGCAGGGATACACACAACTGGAGAGAGAATCATCTGGGATATTCATTCTTCTGACACTCATTCAACCTCTTGTGTAACTCATAGGTCTTGGAGACATCATATCTTGAAAAGCAGCAGATCCCAATTTCTGTGTTTGTCACTGTTGCCAGCAATCATGGATTGCACAAGTGGTGATGCAGTCCAGGCACTTCCCAGCAAAGTTAAGTGTAGATATGACCATTTTGGGTGAGATTCTTGTTTCTCTTAAACTTTTGTTGATCCAAAGGCTTAATGGATTTATTCTGCCTTCACATCAGGTCAACAGAAGAGAAACAGTGTTCTTTAAGCTCAAAAGTGCCATTCTCACTCAAGTATGACATGGGTGTCTTTGTTCTGAATTAAAAACATTAATGCAAAAAGCCTCACGCCCCCTCCTTGCAAGTAGCATCAGCACTTGTAAAATAAAATAAATAATAATAAAAAAGTGACTTTAAAAAATAACAATCCATAAAGCAAAACATAACAAACATGCAAAAAAAAAAAAAAAAAAAATCCAAACAAAAACATAACTGTGCAAATAAGTACCCTTTGCAATCTGGATGTTTTATGATTTCGGAAACATTCTGAATATATAATCCAAGCAGTTATATTGCCAAGGAAATGTCACATAAAAACAGAAGAATCATAGCTTAGATCAGGGAGATAAAAAAGGACAACATACTCTAATCAGATGTGACAGATGCAGCCCAATTCAACATTACAGCCAGAGCCAATGGGGATTTGCTTGCAGACTACACCCCTCGCTCCCTCCCAACCTCCCCATCTCGTTCCAATATTCAGACCTGTGTTCATTTGGAGAGCAAATAAATTGCTTTTATGACGCTCTCTGGAGGTGCCCGATGTGTTAATGAGAAGGCATACCACTGTGATCTGATGGGAGCTCATCATGGTCTTCCAAAAATGCCCCCAGAAGAACCTGGATTTTGCTTTTTATGGGTTTATAAAGCAAGTGGTAGTAGAGGAACACCGCTCTGCTTGGGTCTGCAGACTGGGCATGGCTGGCCACAGAGCTGCCAAATTTCATCGTGACCCTTTCCTGAACACTGATGGCTGCTGTGAGGGCCACGTGTGGATGAGTTTTGAATAGAGCAGTGGCTCACACCATCTGTGGGTTGATATAAAGTCCATATCCAGGCCTGGGTTTCAGATTCTCTCGTCTGAGTCTAACTGATGCAGCATGGCTCCTTAGACTCTTGGGATGGGCAATAGGGAGTGACTGGCACCTCTGCTACATCATTTATCCATCTTTAGGTAAGTCCTGTCCTACTTCTTAGATCAACTCAGTGAAAAATATCCTGGCTAGGAACTCTAGGAATTCCCAATTTCCTGTCTGTGCCCTCAGCACTGGGGAGGAACAGCAGAGGTGGCTGCTCTGGAAACCAGATCAATGTTTTACTTTTATCTTCCCCTCCTCACTTCATTCTAATTAAATATTTAAGACTAATCTGGAAATTACCATTACCTATTTAAGGGCTCGTTGATTTCAGGGGGTGCTGTATTTTCTTTCCCTCTTTCAGCTGTACATTTTTTGTCACTATTACTGCTGTTGTAGCTAAGCACAGACACAGGAGGACGTGCCTTCAGATGGGAAAGCATCTGAGCAAAGGTCCATGGTTGGGTTATTCCTGTGCATCTGCTCCCTGCACACATGGGCTTTCCTTTGCTATAATGAGCCCTGTGAAGTCTCCTGGCTTATCCCCTCTTGCTTCAGGAAAAGAGGATCTTGGTGGCCTTCTTTCTTGGGAAAGCACAAGGGGATTGAGGACAGGCAGCTTCAAGGGTTGCCTTCCATCTTGCAATCCTGTCATCTTTCGCCTTGCAAAAGAAAGAAGGGCCCCCAGGAAGCTGGACCATCTTCTTGCCTTGGAGGCACTTCTGAAGCTCTCTCCTTTCCTGGGGTCTGCAGTGGTTGTGGAAGGTGCCCCACAGCTCACATGTGGACTTTGGGGATGTCTCATTAGGCCAGGAAGATGTTGCCCACCTCCTATTTAATGGAATGACAGTAGAAGTTGGTAAAAGAACAGAACTCACCTAGGACTGGTTTGAAAGTCTTTTTTTTGGCAGCACAGCCATTGATAAGTGGTTCCATTTTTATTTACCTTTCCAAGTAAAAGGACAAGCGGACGTAATTTCTTGTTTGATTTTTTCTCTCCTTAACATCTGTCCTCAGGACCTTGTTATCTCTTTGTCTGACAACTGACAAGGGATGCCAGCTTTCTGTGCTTAATGAGGGGAATGGCAGACTGTGCTCCAGCCACCCCTCGGCCTTCCTTTTTCATAACAAAACAACTTGAACTCCTGGGTCCTCTCAGGTTAACTCAGACTTTCCAATCATTCCTCTCTTGCTTTCAAGGTAAATAGCAGAACAGGATGCAGTGTCCCAGTCCTGGTGACCCTACTGCTATATACAGACATGGAATATGACCTCTCCCTCCAAAATCCCTGATTTATGCACCCAAAAACCCACACAGTTTTCAACATCACTCTGTGAGCCTCTGTACTGATTATACCTTGGATGGTATCAGCGTGCTCACTGACTGCCTTTATTCTTCTCACCATGTCATCTAGACAGCCCTGTGCATGCAAAATAAGGATCTTGTTTTCTTCTGAAGGCTTCTTTGGTGTGGTTTGGGGTTTCCATGTGTGTCATGTTAGACATGATCCCTCAGGCACCATATCTTCTTTGCAAACTTTCCCTGCCTTCTGGCACAAGCTGAGGTCAGCCAAGGGCTTTGAATCCCCTTAACGTGTGCCATATTCGTTTCAGCTCATCCTACCCATCCATCAAAGCTCTGTGATGTAGAAAATCTGATACCTCGCAGGAGTATGTTAAATAAGCAGCATTGCTTTCAAGAATAGCAGGGGTAACTGAGTCTTCCCCAGCCTTATGCCAGCTCGATGGCACTGCATACACAGAAAGCTTCCAAGGAGGGCACATTCCCACCTCGTGATTTCAGTTTTGTTGCAAGGATCCTCAACACCCAGACTTTTGCACGCAATTACCAAAACAGAACATAATCTGGAGCAAAACATTTCTGATAAGTATGGCCACATCTCCAATCCCTCCCTCAGTCCCCACCGAAATAACCATCCAAGAAAAGACATCAGTGCACTTCAAGAAGCCACCACTGGAAATGGATTGAACACAGCACAGCAAATGTTGGGGTACCCACGAGCAGGGAGGCAGATGAGCAGCTCTAAAAGAGAGGCATGAGATGGGGGCGATGAAAACCAAAGCCAGAAAGCTTGTTGGCATGGGGTTGAGCTGTTTGTGGTTTCCATCATCTGACCCAACAGTGGAGTGAAATCAAAGAACGTGCTGGTTCTTGAGAAACAGCCAGCCACTAGGAGGTGGTGATAGTAACAGCACCTGCAAATGACTTTGAGTAGAGACAACTCACAACATACAGCAAATTCAGGAACAGCTGCCATTGCCATTGCCATTGCCATTGCCATTGCCATCGCCATCCCCATCCATCCTCAACTCCTGCCCTCCCCTCTGTTTATCTGAAGCCCTACAGCTATCCATCCATCCCAAGCAAGTGAGAGGAGCAGCTCACCTGGCCATCTGGGCAGCTGAAGCCCATTTATAGCTGAAATCAGCCCCCCTGGTGGAGAGGCTGCTGGTACCAGATGTATCTATCACAGGCTGCTGGTTATTTCAGACCAGAGCTTTTCAAAGAGCACCTTTCAAATGGTCCCTCTGCACTCACTAATTCAAGCACTTAATATGGCCACATGAAGCCCTATAATCATATGGATCCTGCCATAGTTCCAGCCATGTTCCCAGCCCCATCATATAACCATATAGCTTATAGCCCCCACAAATTGCTTTTCCCTAGCCCTGCTCTATCCTCAGCCTCCTCCTCCTCCCAAGCCCCATTACATTTCAGCTCTTGGTGTCTCTCTGTTCTCCCTGTCCCCCAACTCATTTCTCCCCTCTTGGTATGTGGCAGCTCTGCCTGTCCGTGTCCCTTTGTAAGGAAACATGACCTGACACCTCCTGATTCCTCTCAGTCCTGACCACCCTCCTACACTGATTTCACCCTCTGCCAGGTGGCAATTTTGGTGCAATTTCAGTGCTTTTTAGACAAACACATCTTCTCTGCCCATAGATCGAGTCCCCCTGGTGCAGTAATTTTGATGAGTCCATCCAAACGGCTTGAAACACATGGACAGAGAGAAGCCAAGCAATTCCCAAAGGTTGAAAGCAAAACCAAAGCCAACACAATACCCTTAATGTGATTTAGAAGTGTAAGTAAGAATGACAGAAAAATACAAATGAGCGAGTCTAACATGGGAAAAAGCACTGAGTGTGAGCATCCAACTTGGCCAGGCAAGAACCAAAGGGCAAGCTTAGAGGTTGTAAGGCAGAGGAGCTCAGGAATTCAAAAGTGTTACCCCAACCTGGGTAGGCAGTGGCTGATTACAGCTTTATCTTAGTAGCAGTCCCTCAGCTGGCAATAGTTTAGCACCAATATGGTGGCATTTGATGTACTTTGAAAGTCCCAGTTCCTGGAGCAGCATGATTATGCTCTTTCTTTTCTTCCCTCTCAAAGACTAATTTGTAAAAGCTCTTCTAATTGCAGAGGAAAGCTGGAAAGTTAGGCCTCGAGCACCTCAAGCAAGAGCAGACTGATAAGAAGAATGTGCTTGGATATTGCTAAAATAGAACACACCCAAAGCTGGTAATGTAGGGGAGGTGTGGGTTCAGACGTGGTCTGCTTGGTTCTTTCTTATTTAGGAGTCGTGTGCACACACTTCATATACATTGGTTTAGGAAAAAGGGATTTGAAGTATTATTGCATCTCGTTTGTGCAGTGTGAAGGGGACATATGCTGTAATAGCTTATTTCTGTAATTAGAGGAACACTTGAAGCAGAGAAACAGTGCTGGGGGAAGCGATGGGAAGGAAAGCCTGAAGATCAATACTGCCTGCGTCCTGTGCAGCATCAGTGATCCCAGGGAGCAATTCACAGAACAAAGAAAACAAAACTGGAAAGTTTTCTGACCAGGCTGTGATGCAAAGGTGGGTGTTACCCATCACTGCAGTAATACTGTAATAAGCACTAAGCTTTTAAGTAGCCTTGGCAAAGCCCACTGTGCCACCCCTGAAAGCCTTTTGAAGCACAGTGTGAAGACAGTTCAGATGTTTGTTGTAAGACCTGCCCACAAACGCTATTAAATCTATGCTGGTCATTTTTTGGCTTTAACAGGTAGGAAAATGCCTGGAAATGCTGCAGCAAAACCATCAGTTGGTGTTTGTCATGAAGAGGAGGAGGGCTGAGAGGCAGAGGGAGGCACACGTGCAAACTTAAGCTGTTTTAATCTTCCAACAGAGGACCGAATGGGGTAGGAATATTTGCCACCAAATGTTTTCAAAGGGAGTGAAGGGAATACTGCTGCACCTTTTCCATTTGTTTTGCCAGTCCTGTACAGAGCAAAGCAACAAAGTATGACTGCTTTACAATATGGTTGCCTGTGCTGCATGGCACCTTGGGTGTCTCCAGGGATGGGGCACCCACCACCTCTCAGGGCAACCTGTGCCAGTGCTTCTCCACTTTTTCCTTATATCCTGGTGCATTACTTGATAAGTAAGTATAGGATAAATCAGTACAGGACTTGCAGACAAGGATTGGTAAGACCAAACTGGTGCAGGACTTGGATAAGATGTTGTCAGGCCCATAGGTTGGTGATTTCCATAAGGTCCCATCTTACCCAAAGTGGTTTACCAACATTATCCTCACTTAGCAGCCATATGGAGCAGTGGTCTCTCGATGGACTGTGGACCTTATAGGACTCTGTAAGGTCCTTGAGCTCCTTGAGACCTGAGATGCCCTTTTGTCATTAAGAAGTAGCATAGTTTTGTGGTCTACATATTATGACCTGTGGATATGAGAAAAGACAACTTGCTGGCCCCTTGTCTGTGGCATCTATAGAATCATAGGATAATTAAGGTTGGAAAAGACCTCTAAGATCCCCAAGCTCAAGCCCAGCCCATCCCATCATGCCCACTGACCATGTCCCTAAGTGCCATCTCCATGGAACAGGAACACCTCCAGGGATGGTGAGCCCATCACCTCCCTGTGCAGCCTGTGCCAATGCCCAACCAGTGACAGCCAAAGAAAAAAAAAAAAGAGAGAGAAATTAAACAAATCCTACAGAGTAACACTGTGCTGAACGCTCAAACTTACTCTGTTTGTGACAGAAAGGAGCGAATTGCACATGACAGAAGTTGTCACTTAGGGTAGGATCCATTTGTCCACATTTGGGTTAATATGACCTACTTTCCAGTGTCTATCTGCAATAAGACGAATTGCAACCTGGAGAGTGATTTGAGACAAACGGATGTCTGTGGTAAATATCTGGAGTTATAAGAGGTGTGAGACAGAAATAGAGGTGATAGGAGCACACGAACAGATCAGTGTTACACCTCATTATGCTGAGAGATGCTCATTTACAGAGCAGGAGCCGACCCCATTGCCTTGTGTTTTCTTTTTGTCTCCGTGGGCAGCGATGGAGCTGGAAGGCTGCACCTGCATCCTCCACTCCAATGCAGATATTTCACTTTCCCTCGGCCATCAGACTTTTGCAATAATATTTCTGTGCCAAACTAGGCCTGGCAGAAGTGGTTGGGAAGATCTCCTGACTTTGCCCAGTCACATCCCCATAGGCAAGCTTCACACACTACCTGCAGATGACTGCATGGAGATGAATGGGGACCCTCGATTTTTCGTACCTATTTCCAACACTTTAAGAAGCCCTCCAGGAGGTGCAGCTCAGTCCTTTCAGCAGGTTCTCGGCTGCAGCTCCGAGCTGCTAACTCGTGATGACAACAATTGTCGGCTCCTATTAAGATTCAGATCAAGGCTTTATCAGGCAAATTGGTGTGGATGCTGCTGCCCGAATGTTATTTTAAGTGACTCCGTACCCAGCACGGGGAGATTTGTGACAGGTAGGAGCTCTTCCTCCAAAGCTGAGCACTGGGATTCAGACTCTGACTGCTAATCCCCTTCTTACAAAGCATCCTCTCCTCCGGAGGAATCATGTCCTGCTTCTCAACAGTGGGCATGATTAAACTAGATGATCATTGTGGTTCTTTTCAACCCAGACCATTCTATGATTCTATGATTATTCCATTTCCTTTCAGCGGACAGCATGTTTCAACTCTTATTAAATTGCCATTTCTCTCAGCAGGATCTGGGAGCCTGTTCTATTGCATCCCAAGAAGCACAAATCTCCCCCTGTATTGGTGATAGCTGGTATCTGATCAATAGCAATGCAATCTTCTCTGCGGAGTTTCAAAGACATTTGGTTGGGCTGAAAATCAGTGAGAGCCATTTGATTCACTTGGAGGGATGCTCTCTTACACCACCTGAGGATCTGGTCTCCGTGTTCTCTTTCCTTTACACGAGGCAGACCTCTCAGGCATTCATTTAATAGCAATGAGAGAGCAGGGTTTTGAAATGGCTGGGTTGGGATATCTTTTGTCATGGCTGTTTTTGTAAGCGCTTCATGGGAAAAGGCACCACTGAATTAGCTGTAATGTGTGCTACCAGGAATGAGCTTTCTTCTGAATAGCATCCAAAATCCTCAGCTATCTCTCCAAGCCAACAGAGCTGCCCTGTAACAACGAGTCCTCTGTAGGTGGCTTGGCTGGAGGTTTTGGGCATGAGAGGGGTGAATGCTGGCTGTTCTGATGAGAACAAGTGTTCTAGGTTGGACCAAGTAGCTTGCCTATCACTGTCCACTGGATGGCCAGAAACTGATGCCTAGAAAATGCCTACAGGATAGGGCTAGCATGATGTCACAGAATGGATTGGGTTGGAGTTGTAGAATGGTTTGGGTTGGAGTTGTAGAATAGTTTGGGTTGGAGTCATAGGATGGTTTGGGTTGGAGTTGTAGAACGGTTTGGGTTGGAGTTGTAGAATGGTTTGGGTTAGAAACACAGAATGGTTTGGGTAGGAAGGGACCTTTAAGGTCATCTAGTTCAAACCATCCTGCAGCATTCTCCTTATTATTGCATCAGTAACTTATGAGGATATTTGGAGCTTGCATAGAGAGCAAAGTTGATCCATGGAGACTAATGGGACTCCATCAGTAACTGCCCCAAGCTGCAACCCAACAGCCAGGTGGGGAGACATGACAGTCTTTGGATAAATGAATGATTTGGGCATGTGGATCCACCTCCTCCCACCTACTGTGAGGATGTGATGAGTTCAAGCTGATCTGCTGGGCTCCTCTGAGGAAAGAGAGGTTAAAATGAGATCACAAGGCTGGAGCTTCTTTCCTATGGAGACAGGCTGATGGAGCCAGGGGTGTTCAGCTTGGAGAAGAGAAGATCCTGTAGGGGACAACCAGCCCACAGTGGGGGTTGGAACTGGGTGGGTTTTAAGTTCCCTTCCAACACAACCATTCCAGGATTCTGTGAGGAACCCCTCTCAGATGGCTGAACACGTAAGGGATTTGGGATTTGAGATCTACATCATTAAGGACATAGAGTGAGTGCCCTGTGGAACCCTCTGGATCAAACTTCTCCTGAACCCAAGCTGGAAATTGATCTCCCTTACTGTTGCCATCTCCCTTCCCCAGTAGCCTGACACAGATGTGGCCTCATCTTGCCTGTCCCAGGGCCACTGTATCTTGACCCACATCTCCTTGTACAGTCCTGTCTTCTTCTGCTTTCCCTGCTGAGTGATTCCTTGTGGCGAAGCATCTCTGGCGACTTCATTCTGGGTGCTGACCTTTAGTTTGGCATCAGGCTGCTGAAGATGGGAAGGGCAATTGGATTGTTTCTGACAGGAGCAGTTTTTCTCTCTGTTCCCATTATGAATGCCCTATTTCATGGCTCTTGTCCATGGAAGGGAGTTATTCTGATTGAACAACGTGGAGCTGGAAACCCTCATATAGATGGATTAGAGGGTGTTTTCCCTGAAGGTGTTTAAGAAATGTGAATATTTGGCACTTGGGAGCATGGTTAGTGGGCATGGTGAGGATGGATTGGGATTGGACTTTGGGGTCATAGAGGTCTTTTCCAACTGGAATGATTCTATATTTCCTTTAGAAATCCTGCCTGCTTCTCCACTTTGCAGCATAAATATTGATGCTATGAGTGAAAAGGTACTGAGTGCATGGGAGGGATGTTTGGTAGACCTGAGGAAATCGTATGTCCCCGTTCAGCAGAATAGGCATTGCTGCTGGTGGGCAAAACTGCAGAAAGATAAGATGAATCAAAAAGCAGGGAGCAGGGACAGAAAAGCAGCATCAGCAGCCAAAACAGAGGCTTTCACATCCAAGCTTTTGAATGCAGACAAGCACAGAACAACCAAAACTAGGCTGGTGTGTAGGACCTGGCAGGCGAGGAAAACAAAACACCATCAAAACAGCACGATGACAGTTTGACACAAAAAAAAAACAGAGGTGGCCAACTGCAGGGAGAAGAAATGCCTCCTGGGCATCAGCTGCTGGCAGGCTGCTTCTGCGGGGAGGGACAAACAGCAGTGCCAGCACTGCAGCCTCCTTGCCTCAGGTTGCCAATGCGCGCGTTGGCTTGCTGTGAAAGCCCCAGCATGTGGCTGGGACCTGGCATCCTGCTTTGTGACCTGCAGCATGCTGCAAGGAAGCCAAGGGCAGCGAGAGGGTTTAGGCTTGCCAAGACAAAGCTCTCAGATTTTGCATTAAAAGGTAACGTTCAGAGGTCAGGAGCAGAACAGTGCCTGTAGGCTACGATGCTATCAGCAGCAGGGCTTACGGGTGTTGTACAGGTTGCCTGGAGAGGGGGTGGGTGCCCCATCCATGTGGACACCCAAGGTGAGGCAGAATGGGGCTCTGAGCAGCTGATGGAGCTGTGGCTGTCCCTGTTTACTGCAGGGGAGTGGGACCAGATGGCCTTTAAGGGATTCTTTCAACTCAAACCATTCTATGGTATCATACCCATTGCTTTCCCCTTCTACTGCTTTCCCCCAAAAAATTAGAGTGATTCCATTAAAAGGGACCTACAAAGATCATTGAGTCCAGCTGCCCAACTACTTCAGAACCAACAAAAATTTAAAACACATTAAGTCCATTATCCAAATCTCTCTTGAGCACTGTCAGGCATAGGGCACCTCTCTAGAAAGCTTATTTCACTGATGAATCATAGAATGGTTTGGTTTGGTTTGGAAGGAACCTTTAAGATTATCCAGTTCCAACCCCCTGCCACAGGCAGGAACATCTCCCACCAGACCATGTTGCTCACAGCCCCATCCAGCCTGGCCTTGAGTGCTTCCAGGAAAAGGGCATCCACAATAACACAAAGCAGTGAAACACAAAGCTGGGGAATGCTGCCTGTGAGGTGGGCTGTGTGATCTGAATCCCCCCAACACCGTACATACAGTATATAGAGTTAAGTATCACAGAGTTATTAAGGTTTGAAAGATCATCAAGCCTGACCATCAACCCTAACCACCAGTAAACTCAGGCTTCTGATCACACACTGCTTTTTCCAATTAGTCCCTAGTGCAGAGAGACCAGCCAAGAGAATTCCTTATCACAAATTGATGAATACAAGCAAACCAGTAGATAGCCCCTCAACCCTGTTCTTGGAAACAGCGAAACAATTTCTGTAGATGAGGTCAATCTGAGGTAAAGCATCCTGCCTAGAAAATGTTAGACTATCTGGTTTCAGCTTTACGGAGTTGTTCGTTTCTGTAAATAAGCTCTTGTAGTGAAAACTGTCAGGCAGTCTGAACTGTAAGTATTTGTACTTGCTCTGGGTATAAAAAGCCATGTTTACAAGGCATATATCAACTTCTTGAGCTCGTCAGAAATTGTTTAAGAATTCATTAAAGCAGCTCTTCACTGGCAAAATCACAATCCAAAAGTGGATCCTTGAAACAGAGTGATTTCTGATTGTTTTCCATCAACCCCGAGCTTAGTTTAATTGGAACATTACAAGACCATTTTCTGTGTCTTGCGATGGGCCCTGTTCTCTTCCCCTCCTGTTCTG